TTTTAAGGATTTTGGGCATAGGGTTAAAAGCAGACAGTGCAGGTTTAGGTTTTTGGGGAATCCTGGCAGTCGGTGTTGGTGCGGGATTTGAAGTTTGGGGGTCTGGGGGCCTAGGGCCTAGGGTTTAGGTTTGGGGGTTCTAACTTTCGACTGATCTCGTTTTTAATCGTTTCGGCGTGTGGACCCAAGCCGCAAGAGCTGTGGCCTGCAGGTCACTTTATTCCCGGCGCTTCTGCAGCAGAGGCCCCCGACTTCTAAGTTCCGATCGCCATGTAAGCCGATAAACGAAAGATCCCAGCCCCCAAGCCCAAACCCTTAACCACGTTCATACGACTTGAAATCTGGGATTTGTTTATTTGTGCTGGGGAAAAGAGATCGTTTCAGAACTCCTGATGATCAAAGGTTGGGAGCAGTGTAACAGGAAACTCTCCGCAGTGGGAGTGATAATATTAATATAAGAGCTTACAGAATTGCCAATGCCGATAATCTTCTGGTTCCTTATTGTAACCATGCTGTAGTATTTCGCAAAAACCTATTGAAGGGTTGCCTTCTTTTGAGCAAGGTACCTTAGAGCCAGGCTCTGACTGTGCCCTCACTCATCATGCCCCTAAACTCTGAACCCCTAACTGCCCACAAAACGTTCTTGGGCCAAGCCTCCAATCCAAGCCTTGACGTCCCAAATCCGGGTTCTTACTCTGTAGCTCAGCCTTGAAGCTTCAAGCTCAGATTCCGGGTGCCAAAGTTCAGGGTGTTTAGGGTTTTGGATTTCGGCTTTAGGGTTTAGGTTTTATTTTGGATGAGGGCTTTCCCAGTTCGGGCCTACGTTCGAAGCCCCAAAACTCAGCCCCAGATCCCCGAAGCAGGGGGAGAACAACGAGGACGTTCCGACCTGAGTTTCTTCTGACGGCTGAAGATCTTCGCAAGAGAGTAGCCATGCCAATCTTGAGATGGGGCTTGAGCTGGTTTGGGGTTTTGGGCTCTAAATATAAGAGGTGTGACTTAGCTGAGTAAAACTGTACCCCTAATAGTCCCTGTATAACTACAACCTTTGTAGTTGGGGTTGTGGATGCAGCGCAATCTCTGGCACCGAAAGCGTCCTGGAGAAGTGGAACTTCAGCAAGGCCTCACGCTCAAAAATAGAAAGACGAAGCACCGCGAAAGCTGTTTTTCGGGCTTCTCAAAAAATCTCGAGCAACTTTGTTATACGGGCCTATAGCTAGCTACTGGTAGTAAGCACATGTGCCCTCGAAGTCCTTACATCATGATAGTATACGCAAAAAAAACCCCCCAACCCTATTCCATGTATCAGAGACCTCTCTAGCCGCTCCCCTGGAGCTCGAAGCGCCGACTCCTGAAACTCTGGCCCTTTCCTACCGTCTCGTTGTGCCACTTCTTGCGGGATCCCAAGGCTCTGGAGTTTTCCTATGTCGTTCCACCTTCTGAGGCCGTTTTGGGTGGAGTCGGATGGAGGTTATGTAGTGACTTACTATGCAGTGGGCTCGGAAACAGAACCCCTGAGCCGTACATGAACGGCGGAATTCGCCAGGGTTTCTGGCATCATTAGCTCATGAAGTGGGGTGGGGGGGTCTTGGGGGGGGGGGGTGTTTGCTTATCCTTAGCTTATCATCTTGGGAGAGGATAAGTGATGGATAACCTTGGATAGCCTGAGGATAAGCTATGGATAAGGAGGGAAAGGAATAAGCATAGGATAAGCACGGGGTCCGGGATGATTATTGGGAGAAAGCAATGCAGGGGCAATGGGGAGGAGGCGCCATCAGGAGTAGTGCCTCAGATCCTGTTGGGGGTGCAAGACATTTCAAGAATCAAGTTGTTGTAGCTGCTGCAAAAGGCCGGTTGCGCACGCACATTGGTTCAGTTGTGAGACCATTCCCACTTATGAGATGAAGGGGCATCGTGGCTCAAAGCAATGCTTTCAGCAGAACTCCGTTCAGGTGGAGACAAGATATGGCCATGGCAGGTCAGGTTCGTGTTCTCCAAGAGCGTCGGGGCCCCTGCACCCACGCACAGCCCAAACATTTGGAATGCGTTTTGGCGCCCAGGTCAGCTTTCCATCTTGGGCGGGACAGTTCCTATGTGGGAGGTCGAGGCGGGGCAGTGTGCGGCTCTGAAGCAACGGTGCATCCTCAACACAAAAGCTTGATAGGACCTGATAGGACTACCAGAAGCAGTTCGTCATGTCGTACGTTCTGCAGCACGTGTTCCAGGACAGTCAAAAAAAAACATGATGATCTGGACGCTGCCACGCTTCGCCGGATGCAAGTTACTAGGCGGAAGGATTTGAGCAGGAAGTTCTACGCTACAGGCATGCAAGCGTTGGTGCGTGATTACCACACGCTATTGTGGCCCGGCGTTGACATGCCTGAACCGCCGCCGTACAAGAAGCCCGATGGGCCTCGGCAAGGTTGTCTCCCTGAGAGAACGAGTCCCACCTCCGTGCTTGTCAGTGCCCTTGTGTGTTACTTGGGTGAGGATGGCAGAAGGAAAAAGACAGCGCATCGCGCACATGAGTTTCTTGCTGGCCTCGTGAATTTGCTGGCCGCCGGCGGCCAGTGGAGTGTGATATGCACGGAGTTGCGTGCTTTCCAGCGACAGGAAAGCCGGGTGCATGCGAATGGTACGATTTCAGGCGACTGCGTCTGGGGAAGTGGCGAATTTCCCAGGAAGCTTGAATTGCTGAACCTGTGGGAGAAGGAGCTCGCTTCCTGGTGTTGAGTGTTTGAGCATGATTCTCCTAATATTCCTTGTTGAGCCCGGAAGACCAGCCACTGTTGTCTATTATTATGCTTGCTTGTCGGCATACTAAGAACAATGAGTCCAGTCGGACAATTTCATCACCCAGCCATACGCCGCACATCGCAGACTTCATTGCATTTGCCTTTAGCCCCCAGTGTTTTGTCTGCTGAGAGGTGTGATGGCTCGCGGTGTTTCGTTGCAAAAATTGGTGGGTGTTGTGACAGTGCCTTTGTTGCGATCCGAGGCAAGAAGCGCCACATGAAGCCATATCACTGGCAAAGTCTGTGGCCTGCAGCTTGTTGTCCCAGCTGGCAGCACGTCTCGCGACTAGCATGAAATCTGTGTGCAACTTGTATGTCTCGCAGCTTCATGCCTGATACAGTCGAGTCCGTATTTCCGAGGACCAAGAATGTTTCAGGATTGGCTTGCCTCCTGCACAGTTGCGGCACCTGCCGCAGAGACGAGTGCCACTGAGTGCTTTCATCGAGTCTGTTCGCAAACTGAGGGCTGGAGAGGCCGTCTGGTAAAGTCTTTGGTCGCAAGTGCGTTGCCTGAGTTTTGGTGGAAGCCACAGTGATCACTGCAATTTCTCTGCATGCAGGTGTTCTTCATCAGCAGAGCTCAAGGATTTCAAAAGATGGATGTTGCTTCCTTTGCACAAAAGGCCATGGCAGCTCGCCTGTGTGTTTCGACATTACTCTTTCGCACCTTGTTAGATACGGTAATGTTCTAATTAGCAATGATTATTGGTGTCGCTGCGTAAGGTGGCTTACGGGGAACGCATGCGAATCGAGTTCCAGGACCAAACGATTTTTCATGTAAGCAGCTCAGTGCACATAGATGTGACGCATACCTGTGTGCGCCTTGCAGCTGTCTCAGGTTACGATGGACGGGTCCAACATAGCGAAGGTTCCTACCGAGGTTTTTTGGGTGTTCTGCAGGGAGCTTAGATATGTTTTCCCTGAATCACTGAAGGGCAGTGCGCAGGCAGTCAGTTGGTCGTGCTTGCCAGCAGGTCCCTGGAAAGCTTTGGGCGGTTTTGGGCCACCTCTGGCTGGATGCTCAGCTGTACAGGAAACTGTGAAAGTTTGGTCGGAGTTGGTTGGAGCTGTATCCATGGGCAGCGAGCAAGCTATTAAGATGCTGCCCTGCCTCAGCTTCGGCTTCAGATGACATAGACGGTGGCAGATGAGTGGGTCCTGTTCTTCGGTGGTGGAAGTAGACAAGCGTCTAGATACATTTGTGGACAAGAAGATACGTACTTCACATCTAGTAAAGTAGGATTCCTGCGGGGACCGGAGTTGCCATGCTGCCGATGAAGCGTTCCTTTGAAACTGTGTCAGAGTCTGTGGAGACAGCTACGGACCTGACCACGGTCAAATTCTTCCGCCGCGTTCGTGGCAACAAGGACCGTATGCAACATACCCTGCCTGTCGTGAACTGCCTAGCAGACTGCACAGATTGTCAGGATGGCATCGCTGACACTGCGAACCTCAGCAAAGTTTCGACCTGCCTCAAGGCCGGGCGCATGTGTTTCCGACTTTCCTGAACAAGAATACCCTGCACAGCAGGCTTCCTGGGAGTATCTAGTCGAGTGCGTGGGTGCAACAGAGATCAAGGACGTGCGCGTGCATTTCAGTCAGCAGTTTCGAGGGCTTCGATTATTGCAGCGACCAGGAGTCTTTCTTGTCCATTCCCCTCACCACCTCCAGCATGTGCACGGGTGCTTACACCGCAGAAATGGCTTTGGCAATGGTTTGCCGCATCGCCAACCAATCCGGTGCGTTGAAGCGCCGAGCTGGTTTCACATGCAAAGCCGCGTGGGTTCTGGGCTTAGGTGTATATGAGCACAGCATGATTCTGCATTTGAGACTGGACATGCTGCTTCCATACCCCAAGGAGAAACAGAAGCCGTGCCACCAGGCGATCATTGATAACCACGAGTGGGTCAATGCGGTCCTGGATGAAAGCACCTTGCAGCCTTGCTTGTTTGAAGACGTGATGGGACTGTGCCCAGACGGTGTGGTGGACGAGAGCAAGAGTGACTTGTTTGCTTGCTGGTTTGCGGTGTTCCAGTGCAGGGTCTGCGTGTTGTTTGCGTGTGTTTGTGCTGGCACGACGCTGTGAGGCTTCTGGGAGAATGCGAGAGCCGTGTACGCGTCGCCCGTTGTTGCGTGTGGGAAGTGCCTGACACATGCTGGCATGTGTAGAGTTCCACATGTAGACTTGGATGTCAGCGGATTGCCATGCGTGGACAATTCAAAAATCAACGTAAAGCGGGCATTCGAAGAGGGAGGGACTGGGCCCTTGTTCGCCGTGTGGGCACGCAGAATGCGGCCTATTCTATACCCATGGCGATACTGGAAAACGTTCCCGCCCCTTAGCTGAATATATGCGTCGTGTGAACAGTTTGTGTCAGTTCGTGTCCATGTCATGCACGTTGTTGGCGTTCACTGCAGGATTTCAGAGTTGAGATCTTGGGTGGACTTCTCGGTGACTTGTACAACATCTACCCACTCCAGGTCAAGACAGACGATGTTGGCCACTGTGGCGTGTCCAGGAACAGGCTCTACATCATCCTGGTGTCCAAGGAGTGTCAGCAAATCACAGACCCCGTGCAACTGTATAACTCTGTAGCAGAGAGAAATCGCAGTATGTTCTCCACGGAGCCCAAAGATTACCTCCTTGCTCCTGAGTTCGAAGTCCAGTGTGAGGCCTTCGAGACCGCCCGCCCCTTCTCTTCAGCTAAGGGATCGGAGGGCAGGGACTGGTTCCAAGGTTTACTCACTTAGTCAAGTCAGTCTACCATGTAAAGCAGGCAGCAAAGTTGTGGGATGTGGGGAAGTCCCAGGTGTGCGGGGAATGACGTTCCGCTCAAACGAGTCCAGTCTGAGCTACCTCTTGAATCCTAGAGAACGGGATGCCGTGCAGACGCTGGACGACATGTACAGGTCGAGATTTCGGGAAGATCCACGAAGCAATTCCAACCTCGTCTACTTCCTAGGAGATGACCCATCCTGGACGGCTTCGTGGTCAGCGATCAGCCGAAGGGTTCCAACGTTTAGAACGAACTGTGGTACGGGCAAGTTTTGGCTGCCGGCTGCACAGCGGTGGATGACAGGCTCTGAACGGCTGCGCGGTTGAATAGATTCTGGGGATGTTGTGTGTGAACACCACTTATACCCTTTCATCAGCCAAGGCTTTGCGCCATGACCTTTCCGGGACATGCCAGTGTCGCTGATGTCTGTGGCGTCCCAATTGTCGGCAGCCGAGACCCCAAGAGGGCTGGCTGCATGCTTGGCAACGCAATGGCGTTACAGAATGCTGCGTTGGTGCTGATGGTTGCATTGTGTTGCTTCCGGCCGATGGCCTAGACCTGTGCAGAAGACTTTCTCGTGCACCCGAGTCAAGAAACAGCGACCTAGTGACAAACAGACAGAGGCAGCAGATCAGACCGATAATTAACAGATAGACAGGGAAAAACGGAGGGAGCCAGAGAGAGAGAGAGAGCTTGGAATGCCTTTGTGTTGACTTCTGGCACTTCGCCTGCTTCTGCTGAGACATGCTGCCCATGCGCAAGCCGCCTGAGTGCATTTGGCGCAAGCTTCTTTCGTTGTGGAAGCATCCTCGTGTTGGTGCCACCATGCACCCTGGCGGCCATCCTCCTATGTATCCTGGTCCTGCTCCTTATGGCTTCTACCCAGCACACACCGCACCTGCTGCTGGGAGCAGCGCCAGCGGAGACCCGAATCAACCAGCTGCTCCCGGAACGGCGGTGCCACCATCCAGCAGCATGATGCCCATGAACAGCATGATGGCATCCGCTGCACCTGTGCCTGTGCCTATGTCCGGAACTATGACTGGGGCGTATCCTCATCCTGGTGGCAGCCCGGTCGCCGCAGGCCACTCGGCCATGGTGCCGATGGTTCCTGCCAGTGCCAGTGCCGGTGCACTTGTGCCAGCCAGCGGAGGACGACTAGCTAAGTAGACATGTGTCCCGTAACCTAGCTCTTGAAACATACCCTTGCAGGAGCCCCAATGTCAGCTCCAGCACCTCCGGACGTTTCCGATTCGGCTGGCCCCAAGCGAAGGAGGAAAGCAAAGCAGGAGGAGAAGCAGGCAATCTACGCACGGACCTGGGGGGACGTTGTAGCTGGGCGCTGAGATGCTACACTGGGGCTTGTACTTGTAGAAGCATGTGCAGTCTTCGGTGCTTCAAGGCATCTCTGCTTTGCTCTAGGATTACGTTCTGAAGAGGCTGCTCACCAAGTCCGGAGTGGCTAGATTGCACTGGGGGTACATTCTGTTCACTCCAGCCTTGAACTGCTTCGTATTTTGCAGGGTGACCATGCGAACAAGAGCTACTTGGAGCAGATCGGCAACAGGGACATCCTGGGCTGCATGGCGTTTTGGTACTGGGGAAAACACCCCCAGGCCCGCTTGGCACCCGCTGAGTCACTTGCCTGAGAAACCGTGGTCAGCCCATAGACTCTATAGACCCTTAAGATAGCAGATACCTAAGGAAGGAGGACGTGGATGCCACGGCCCTAGACCTGTTGCAGGAGTACACACGACGACAGCGTCCGGGGGACCTTTTGACCTCGGACACCATCCACTGCATTTGCACGGCGATTTTCTCGGGGCAGGACCGCCGGCACAGGAACGAAGCCCGGCCAACCCCCCGCAGGGGTTGGTTTCAGAATTCGATTTGTCTAGACATTCCGACCAGGACAGCTACCGTGTGACCAGAGACCGAAACCAGTACTTCCTTGGCAACTCGCAGCACGAGATTGACGTGACAAGTCGGCTTCCGGATCCCTACAACACAAGGTATATCCTGCGAGTCAACCGACAAGGCAGGTGCTTCATTGTCTCCGAGACCAGACTCTCATCAGCACTGGACTGGGGTCGTTTCTGTCTTAACGGCCTTGCTCAGGCTTAGGCTTAGGGTTTAAAGGTTAGGGCTGGGCTCCTACTACCATAAGCTTTCCTCCCTGAATTTGCCAGGCGCTGATCGCCTCTCACCGAACGTGCTGTGGTGCGACGGTTTCCTGCCACCGGTCTGCAACCTGCATCAGGAACCCTGCACTGTGCTGGCGAAGCCACAGATGAAAGCACTGTTGAGTGCCCGGGCGAGGGCGTTCCACCTCCAAGAGGGGGGTTCGTTGTCAGACGGCCTCTCGGATGCTAGTGGGCTGCCACCGCCGGCTCCGCTGCCGGAGCCAACTCCGGTTCGCCCGTCGGCAAACCCGCCGGATGTGACACCACCACCTCACATGCTTTCGGGCACAGCGGGGGTCTCTTTGCTGCCGGGCATGGTTGCAGTAGGACTGGTTTGTTGACTTCTTACTCTGCATGCACACATGTGAATGTTGTGAAGCTTGGCTGGATATGTTTAGCTTTCTTTCCGTAGGACCTCAGCCACCCATGTTGACGACTCCGACTCCCGGACAGCCGAGCAATGCTTCCGAAATTCGGGTCAGGATTTCAAGAACTGTCCCGGACTAGAAATTGTCCAATACTACGACGACGAGGTTACCAGGTTACATAATACATATAAGGATTATCTGTGTATTGCCCTCCTGTCTGCAGGAACAGCTCAGATCGTTTCTGCCCAACCGCCTGCCACGGCTCCAGGCAACGTAGGAATGTGAGTTTAACAAAGTTTGGGCTTTGGGATCTTTGAGGTTTCTGGGTCCGTGCGAGTGTGTGCATCGAAACCTCAAAACCATAAACCCTAAAGCATTAGACCCGAAAACCCTAACCCCAAACCCTGAATTGAAGGGCAATCTCACTTTAATGATAATCTCTTATCCTAAGTACCGCAAGGGGCCAAAAGAGGATAAGGCCTTGAATCGAACCCTGAAATCCAAGACCAACTAAAACCCTAAGCCCTGACCACAAGATGCACCAACTCCAGGCTTCGTCCCGGCAGCCCCGCTGCCAGCCTCGCTGCCAGCCCCGCCGCCAGCCCCGCTGCCAGCACCGGCAGCCCCGATGTCAGCACCGGCAGCTGCAGGATTTTCTTTTGATTGGGGGTTTAGGGTTCAGGCTCCTGAGCTTTTGACCCTTTCACAAGCCCTAAACCGCAAAACCTTCGACCCTGTACCCTGGACTGGGAAAAAAACGGCGGACCCCTGAAACCTTGAAGCCTTAAGCCTCAAGCTTCAGGAAATGCAGGAGTTCCAGGATAGGCTTTCTCCGGTTGTCGCTGAACTGCCAGGCACCCCAGCCGATAAACCAACACGCAGGCCAAAAACAGGACCCGTGCTTTCACCAACCTGACATCCAATCCCCAGTCGCACGCGCCCGCATGCCTGTATTGCTGCTGCAGCAATGACTGGCGAATTGGAAGCTTTTCCAAACTGAACTCCAAATCCTAGAAGCTTAAAGAGCTGAGTCCTGAAATCCAAACAACCCCAAAGCCCGAAGCATTCGACAAGCTGCAGGATTGCCTGGCGTCGTGCCGCAGACGGTCCCGCCACAAGCCTCTGGAGGATTATGTTTTGAGGTGAGATCTGTACTGAGTTACTGCCGACGGATGCAATGCCTCTGTCAGGAGCTGGCCTCACCACTGACGGTGCTCCGGAGAGCAGTGATGAGGAGGACGAGGATGATCAGCAGGCGTGACCGGAAGAGAGGGTGCATCAATCAATTTTGGCTTCATTGACTCACTGACAGTGTTTGTGCATGCAGGGGGCTCGTAAGACGACGAAGAACCCCCGCGCCAGAAGAACCCCCACACCTTTTCGGTAAAACCAAAGCCTCCGCAGGCCTACTCCCTGGCGTTCACAGATGCCGGGTGGAAGCTGAAGGACAACAGCACGGGCATGGTCGCCGACCTGGCCGGGCGAGCCGCAGGTGGGGCGGATGATTGGGTGCTAGGCCAAGACCAGAAGGACTCTAGACAGCATGAGTGTTGCTTTGTCGATCCCATGTTGTTCTGCTTGGGCCACTGCTGAATCTGAAGACAGCCTACATTAGGACGGCAGCAAGCACTTCAATGAGTACTTCGTTGCGTCGGCATCAAAGCAGTGCAAGCCCATGTGGGTCAACCGACTCTTCAAGGCACCCACATGTCTATGCATGTGTGTGTGTGTGCGTGTGTGTGTGTGTGTATGTATGTATGCGTGTGTGTGTCTGTGTGTCTGTTGGCAGCAATTCCTGATGCTCTGCATTGTCTGCTATCCCCAAGTGCTCAAATCTGCTGTTGTTTCGCCGCTCAGCGGTCTTGGGAAGGGTTGAAAACGGTTTTGGTTTCGGTTTCTGCTTGACGGCTTGGAGGGCTCGCTGGGGACGCTGATGGCCAATCTTGGTTGGATAGGGGGGTCGGTCGTGGGTTTGGGGGGGGAGGGCTGGGCTGGGGCTGGCTGGGCTGACTTCCCAAATGGACCCCCAAAATCCCACCGTACCTTGTGATTCCCGCTTATTCTCGGCTTATCCTAGGCTTATCCTCGGTTATTCCCAAGCGGATCCCTAAAATCCCACCGGACCTTGGTGATTCCCGCTTATTCTCGCTTATCCTCGGCTTAGGCTTATTCCCAGGCGGACCCCCAAAATCCCACCGGACCTTGGTGATTCCCGCTTATTCTCGCTTATCCTCGGCTTATCCTCGGCTTATCCTCGGCTTATATCCTCGGCTTATCCTCGGCTTATTCCCAGGCGGACCCCAAAATCCCACCGGACCTTGGTGATTCCCGCTTAGTCTCGCTTAGCCTTTTCTTATCCTAGGCTTATCCTCGGCTTATTCCCAGGCGGACCCCCACAATCCCACCGGACCTTGGTGATTCCCGCTTATTCTCGCTTATCCTCGGCTTATCCTAGGCTTATCCTCGGCTTATCCTCGGCTTATTCCCAGGCGGACCCCCAAAATCCCACCGGACCTTGGTGATTCCCGCTTATTCTCGCTTATCCTCGGCTTATCCTAGGCTTATCCTCGGCTTATCCTCGGCTTATTCCCAGGCGGACCCCCACAATCCCACCGGACCTTGGCGATTCCCGCTTATTCCCGCTTATCCTCGGCTTATCCTGGGCTGTTCGGTCTAGGTGTTTTCCAAGACCTGTCACAGCCATGTCGCAGAACTCGCCCGTGGCAAGCAGTCGTGGATCCCCAGCAAAATCAGATGCCTCGACGCTCGTGCTGGGTGACCACTTGGTTGCAGGGCAGTTGCCTGAGGATGTGGCAGTGGCAGGGACGGAGCAGGTGATTCTCGGCACAGACCGTCAGGGGTTCACTACGCCGGATCGCAAATGTGGGCCGACACCGTTTTCTACACCGGATCTCAAAAGTGGATTGACGCCACTCATGAAGGACTTGAGTATGGGCACACCCTCTCCCCGCGGGCTGAAGCGTGGTCTGGTCACTACACCCGAGACGACAAAGCCTCCAACCACTCCAGTCCCAGTCAAGAGACAACGGCGCGAAGCGTTCCTCGGTGAATCTGTGAAAAGCGTTTGCAGTTCTACCTACTATACTTAGTACTTAACGTTCATTCCACATCCTATTATTCTACAGAAACATGATCCCAGGCAGACCTTGTTGGACTCGCTCCTTACACCCTTGCAGAAGCGCTTGGCAGATGCAGAGCAAGTCGCCCGGTCCCAGATGGAGTTCGGAAAGGTTCTGCCGACCAAGCCAGAGACAGAGATCGACGAGGGCAATCCTGACGAAGTTACCGACGACACCAAGACGGAGGAGGGCAAGACTGAGAAGGGCAGTCGCAGCTTGTGCTAGCAGAGTTTTGGCTAGAGCCTAGAGCCGGATTGGATCCGGTAACGGCTTTTTTAAAAGTCTTGTTTATCAAGGGCACTCTTTACATCACAGCTCGCTCGTCGGAAAACGAAGCCTTGTCACGATCAAGCACCGTGTTTCCATTTGCACTGTAGCTGCCCCTCGACCCCAATCCCACAACTCAGAAATCCTGAAAGAGAACCCTTCAATTGATGCAGGCGCCGACCGATCAAGCAACGCCCGGTGCAGCCGCTGCGCCAGTGAAGGAACAGGCGGTTCCGCCAAGCGACACAGCGCCGCCCAGTGCTGCCGCTGCGCCAGCGGCACCCGCTCCGGCTGCTGCTGTGCCACCTCCCGCGATCGCTCCGGATGCGAACGAAGAAACCCCACCGCCTAAAGTGCCCAAGCAAAAGGCCAAAGCCTCGGCACCCAGCGCGACTCCGAAGACAACCCCGCATGTAGCCCCGGTGCCCGACACGACCTCGACAGCAAAGTCGCCGCCGAAAGCATCTCCGCCTGCAGACGGTTCGGCAAAGGCCGCAGGCAGTGTGACTCCGACTTCCCCGCCTCCTCCGAAGAAGTCAGCTGCCCCTTGTCTATAACTAATGTTGGCAATGTTGTCAGGCGAGGTTGCGAGTGCATAGGTAAAGGTTCGTGGTTTCAGGATTTTCGTTTGCCCGACTCAGCCTGGCTACGGGTATCGGAACATGCGCCATGCACTTGGCATGTTGCAGATACTTGAGCACCCGTGCTTGCATTCTATTATGTTGGGCTCAAAAGCGGCAAAAGCAGCAGGCACAGCTTAGAGCAAAGATGGGTGACCCGTCAAATGACGAGTCAAGTGAAAGTGAGGCGTCGGGCGACAGAACGAATCTGCTGGTATCAGACAGTGAATCTGGGTCTCCACTTGATCTTAGTGGGCCTCCACGGGGTCCTCCTCATCCGGGCCCGACCGAATTAGAGGCCCGTATTGCCACAGCCGTGGCTGATGCCATCGGGTACACCCGCCTCATACAGGTCAGGCTGCTGCCAAATCTGCCGCCGCAGGACGTGCAGCCAGGACTCATTGTCGAGATCCGTCGGATGCCTCGGAATCAGACACACATCGGAAGCAACATAGATTTCGCAGAGGATCCCACAAGATTAGAAGAGGAGCGTGATGCTGCGATGCTAGCTCGGGTGACAGCTCAGGAAGAGGCCGAAGCCAAGGCTAGGGAGGCAGAGTTTGAGAGAGAGATTGACGAACTCTTCGGAACGCAGCCGGAGCCCTCGCCCTCTACCAGCGCTGCACCAGCCGAAGCCGAGGCTAGGGACACAGAGGTTGAGAGAGAGATTGACGAACTCTTCGGAACGCATCCGGAGCCCTCGCCCTCTACCGGCGCTGCACCATCAACAGCTGAGTCATCCAGAGCGGCATCACCTAGGACCTCCATGTCGTCCGGATCAAATCGCAACCGAAAAAAAAGCCCTCGTGACAGCGATGACATTGAAGCCAAGCGGGTTCGCCAGATTCTGAACAGTTGAAACCGGCCCTTGACAGTAGTCGTCAGTGCTCTCTGTGGCTAAACACTGGCTCTGGATGTTATCGGCCGGACTTGTTGCTTGCGGCTGTGGACAAAATGACGTCGCTGGACTTGGGCTCTAGTCTACACCTCTTGCTGCGTTTATTGTTATGTGCTTGCAGTGCTGGACCATGACCTAATTACAAGCATAGCCCTCGACACCTGGTACAGTGCCTTGTAGGGTTCTGAGTTTTAGCAATTGGGGTTTCGAGGGTTCAAAGTTCAGACCCTGAAGCCTGAATGCCTAGCAATACTACTCCCTGCGGTTCTCTGCTGTGAACCATGCTGCCGCTTCCAAAACCTAAGCCCGAAGTCAAACCCTAAACCCCTAAACCCCTAAACCCTAAACCCTTAAAGCCCTAAACACTAAACCCCTCAGCCCCCGAATGCCAAGACTCGGAAGCCTTATCGTCCAGCCTAAGCCCTCGCCAAAAAATGCTTAATTTGAAACTCCCGCCCAGGCTGTCGTGCAGGAAGTCACCATGCCTCCAGCGCCGAAGTCGACGTGATGAACCGTGCGCGATCAGTCCTGTGAAGCTACAGCATTTTGATTCCTTCGTCAGCTTAGAAGTCTGAGCTTGCCTTTTGCTTGGCAGCAGGGTTCGGGGCTGAAAAGCTTAGGGTACGCTTAGCAGGCTAGCAGCAATGACTAACCTTTGCTGATTTGACCTTCATGGTACGCACAGCATCCACCTTGCTATAGCGTCAGAGCACTAGGCTGACAGAAAGGATCCGCCCGGCTACGTCAGCAGGATTGAGATCTCCGTTTTGGATTCTTGAAAGAGGCCTGTCCGCATTTGCCATGGACCCTGTACTTACTGTACTTATTTCACAGCACACAAGCTACAGCTAGGGACTTTGACAATTGCACCGGAATGTCGGACACGGCCGATGCCTAAGGGCCTAGGACAGCGCGGGCACACGCGCAACGTTTTACTTGCTGCTCAGCACACAGCAGACAAAAAAGGGTGCAGATGTCAGCTCAAAGCATATGGACCTTTCCCATACGTTCTCGGACTCTTAAACTTACGTACGCAGCTCCCCTTCGCCGAGTCCTTGACCAAGCTCTCCGAGAACAGTGTGAAGTTCACCGCGCAGAGAGCCGGCCCAGTGGAGACGGGGCCCTAGTGTGACGGGAATCTTAGACTGGTTTGGTTTAGGGGTTTAGGTTTTCAAGGATTGCTGTAAGTTAGTTGCACGGGTTTTGTGTTTGGGTTGACAGTCTCCGGCTCCATCTTCCCTTGATCGTCGGAGCTTTGAGTGTCTGCGTTTGCAAACCGTAGCAACCCGCCTAAGGACACAGGGCTCATATCCAAGTCCAGGAAGCCTTAAGTAAGCCGAACGCCTACTGTCGTCTGCCAGGGACCCAGAAGGCAACCAAGTCCGCAAGACGAAGCACAACCTCAGGCACGTCCAGGCGAGCAGAGTAAGAGGAGGAGCCTGGTGATGTTGTAGCCAAACCCTGTCAAGCCCGACAGGTCATGCTGCGAGCATTCAACACAAATCTGCTCAGCTGCACGGGGCGATCTTTAGAATATTTCAAGCCCGCCCAGCAACTGGAGTATTCAACCGGTCGCATCCCGCTGCAGCCTGCTTATCCCAAAGAGCGTCCGCTGCTCAAGGGAGTGACTTGACTGATGTCTAGGCGTCGGCTCCTGCTGTTTATTTATTGTTTTGCAGTCGACTGGAGCACTGGACAGTAAGGTAGCAGATCAGGAGAAAGTGGGGGTGAAAGCCTACAAGCTTTTGGCCGGAGTCATCCGCTGCTACTTCGAGCCGGACAGTGCTCACCCCAGCTGGAACGATTGTCGAGCCGCGGCTGCATATCATTTGCCAGATCTCTTGATCCGACTGCTTGCGCTGTGACAGTGTTGAGCCTGCCCTATTTTTGCAGGAAATGCTTTTGTTCGTGCAAAGCAGAGCATCACGATGCTCAAAGCAACCATCCTTTCAACAACTTCGCACGGCCCGTCCCAAGCCTAGCGCATGAACAGACCTGTGCACGCTCGGAAGCAATCCGTAACTCAGTATGCGACGGACCCTGCCAAGGTACTTGTCGGGTACGACATGGTTGGGGAAGCAGGAAGCGGCTGCTCAGTACATCCGCAAGTACGCTGACGATCCTGAGAAATGGGCTGAACTCGCAGACGCGATGTGGTACGACTTGGGCTATGAGGTTGATCCTAGCAACTTGCCGCAGCAAATCCAGGAATGGGCGGCTGCCGATGCCATCAAGAAGAGAGGCATTTACGTGCCTTGGCTGCAGTATCAGTAGCCGCCTCGGGAAATCAAGGGAAGCCCCTCGTGCAATGCCATGCCTGACTAAGATGCGGGGCAAGGGCTGGTTTGGCCTAACAGAGAGATGCCTTTCCCTCAGCCGCGAGTGGACAATCTCTGCGGAGATCATGGCAGCTTTGGCTGCCGCCCCTTGGCTTCTTTAGAAAAGAGTGGGGATTGGTTGCGGAGATAAGTCTGTGACGGCGTTCAAGGACCAGACGGACGAGGACTACGAGGAGGCACAGCCTCCTCCGCAAGAAGAGGAGGATCCAGAGGAGCCTACGACCAGGGCAGAATTTCAGGTGTGGCGCGGCAAGTTCAAGAACAATGTCCAGCTGTGCGCTGCTCTTTATCAAGATCGGTGCCTGGTCTGCACTCTCAGCCGGCCAACTCCGTATGTTCCGCTGTTAGACCTTGGAATGCTGCTGCTGCTTACTGCGCTGCTGCTGCTGCTGCTGCTGCTGGCCCCGCTTGTCCACCCAGCAAAGGCATCTCCAGGTGCGAATCAAGATGCTTGCGCTCTGCAGCGAGGATGTGTCCAAAGAGTTCTACAGTAATCTGGAAGCGCAAAAGCAGGGGCAGGCCCATTGCCAGTGGGCATTTCTTTCATGCAGTAGCACGTCTCAAGAATTAGATCTTGTAAATCCTGCTGCCGGAAAATCACAGCAGGAGAAGCAGCTGGAATGGACCGCCGCCAGAAGTGCTGGCTCCTGGTTCCGTACCGTCCAGTCCACTTTGAAGAAAATTCATTCTACGAAGTTCCTGCAGGAGCTGACGGTGAGTGTTTGGCATGGACACAGGCCTGCTACAATGGATGAAGAATGGGTTCAAAGAGACGCTGCGATCTTGGGGGAGGCGTGGCTTGTGCTTCTTGAGCTGGCTGCAGCCAGGACCCGGGGACATGCTAGCAGCTTAAGCGTTGTCAAGTCGACAGTTTTTTCTCTCAACTCTCCTCGCAGCATAGGACCTGGTCGCAGGTAATGTTCACTTACACCCCGCCATATTGTCTGGCGAGTATCTTTGGTGACGCGGCAGCCGGGCACTGGTCGTTAGAATGGCTTCAACGTCTCGACGCTGGTCTTGCAGTCGCCCAGCGAATTCGGAGGACTTCGCCTGACACACCTGTGGCAACGGCTCTGAAGGGGCTGCTGCGCGACTTGTGGTGGCATGCCACTCCGCTTTCCCTTGAACTTTTACAGTGCGCTCGCGACGCCCATTTCGACAAGAATGATGCGAATCTGCGCCTCCTCTGCTTTGGTATGTATGCCGGCCCCAGTAACACGAAACACAGTGCGGAGGACGTGTTCGCTCATTTGACTCATGTTCAGCAACGGTCCCAGAAAGGCCTTCAGAGAATGTCCAAGCCGCTTGAGTGGAGTCTAATTGCGGAGTTTTTTTATTTTCACAAAGCTTGAAACTCTACATCCAAAACCTTGAAACCTACACTCATTCTTGCTGCATGTTGCCGAGATGGTCGAAGTACTTTTACCTCACCACCTGCCAATCCACGCGAAAGAACGGGTACAACCACGTGGAGTGTGTGCCTTCGGACTATCTGAACTTTACAGCAGAAGCTGACAATCGGCATGGTCTTTACTTCGGCGCAACACAAAGCCCCAGCCAGGAACTGGAACTAAGCAGCTTTCAACAGGTTTCTTGGTTTCAGGAAGGCATACGTATAATAAGCTTGCTCTCCAACACGTCCGTTGTTTTCCCGCAAACCTAGCAGCAGAGAGTTGACAGGCTTTGGGCAAGAGTGTAGCTAAGGTCAGCGAGAAGTGGGCCGTGTGTGGAACCTTGGCCGACATGCGCATGGTGGCTGCCGGCTGGACGTTGGCAGAATACCACGACAGCAATTTCGCAGATCTTCCTGACTTCTGGACAGGTGCCTCCCGAAACTTGCTTCACATCGTGGGTTTTTCCCTGAAATACAAACCGTCGGTTCAAACCCTGCAGGTGTCTTCCTAAGCAAGGGGTTGGTGATCCTGAAAGCTGGTGGAGAAGCATTTCTCAGTTTGGGTTTTCGCAAATATTGCGCACTGGCCCTGCCTTTGCAGAAGCACCGCAATGAGCACGGTCTTGATCTTTACTTCCGGCTCCCCGAGCGTGAGACCGCGCGGCCAAGCTGGCTGACCAACACAACGGTGGATGTCCAGGACACCACGCTTCAAGCCTGCTCCGTCAAGCTACTGCCGCCTGCTTGCCTGCCAAAGGCATTGCGAGCTCACGGCTGCATACTTGTGCCGTTCAGGCCAGTCGAACCGCTGGTGAAAGCGGCGCTACGGAGTGGGCTGGTGTTGGATGTCCCTACGATCATCAAGGTTTCAGCTGCAAACGGGGCGGATGCCCCGGTGGCCACGGGCGCGAAGAATAAGAATGGACGTCGTTCAATCTTGAAGCAGGACCGCGTGGCAGCCCTGCTGAAGAAGGTATTTCCGGACATAGCCGTGGACAGCCAGGAGTATGACCGCATCATGACTGCGATCATGGGCAAAGCGCCCGTTGCGGCTGTGTCCGATGACGTCGCTGAAGAGATCCTCGAGGGGGTAAAGGCATTGGACCCGGACAACGCCCAAAAGTTTTCTGGGCTGCGGTCCGTGGCAGAGCAGGTGGACTTGGACAAGAAATTTTTGGCAAAGCAAAGGGCAGCTGAGGCAGCAGCAGGAAGAGGCAAGGGCTTCAGGGGCAACATGAAAAGTCAACAGTGACAGTCTCAGTGTATGTAGAGGTATATGAAGGATCGGGTTTGGACTGTTGTGCGAGATGTGAGCCACCTGTCGCAGGACCCAGTGATGTGCCAAACCAGCCGAGGAAGCACTTCACCCCGAAAGAGCTGTGCCTAGACAGCAAGAAGCGAAACCTTGCACACCGGAAGCTTGAACCCTGTACTAATGAGCTCTGGGGCAGGTGCGTTCTGCTGCCTGGTGGTGGCCGCATTGCTGAGTGTTACATCCAGCGCAATCCGGCGACTACATCGCACCAAGCCTTCTACCCCAGTTCTCCGACTGCACCGGATTATAAGTTGAATTCCAAAACCTAAACTTTGGAGCCTCGAAAATTATAAGGCCTGAAGCTTAGACCGCAATTAAACCGCTGAGCCCTTCTGTTAACAAGTTAGCAATTTTTAGTACGGTGACCGGGTACACTAAGTCGACAAGAGCGCTGGCCTTGGTCCTGGCTCTCGCTTCGCGAAATGGGGCGGCGTCAAGCGCATGCTCACTGAGAAAGAGGCTCTTTACGAGGTGATCACGAAGATTTGGGACATGCATGAGCAGTACGGCAAGCTGGTGCATCGACATGACAAGAGGCCGTCACATGCTGTCGAAATTCGCCCGTCCACAAAGTGTCATTTTCAAACCCCTACGATGCCCTGACAGGCCCACACGTGCAGAAATCAACCAGGCAGTGGACAACATCGAGCATGCTGATGCAGAGTCTGGCGCTGCTTCCAGCAGCCACATCCCGCCGGCGGCGCCTAAGGCGCCGTCGCCGGCGCCCAAGGCGCCAAGTGAGACAGCCGCCAAGGCAAAAGCCAAAGGAGGCAGGGGCAGGGGTGCTAAACGAGCGAAGACCGACGTTTGAACTCCATGCCTTCAGTGTACAGGAAAATGCCGTGAATGCGACCGTTGGTTTCATGGGAAAGATTGCTTGGCCTTGGGGCCTGGATACTTCCATCAGTCCATCAGTGAACCGCTTTGGATAAGCCGTGAATAAACTAGTAGGTGTTTTGGATAAGCCACGAATAAGCAAGTAGGGTTTTTTGGATAAGCCGCGAATAAGCTTGAATAAGCCAATAGTCGTTATCCTAGGTTTATCCATAGCTTATCCATTACTTATCCGATAAGCTTGGACAAGCCACGAATAAGCGCTTAATAGAGGCTTATCCTATGCTTATCCTTAGCTTATCCTATGCTTATCCATACTAGGCTTATTCACCACTTATTGGATAAGCCAAGGCCCCCCCCCCAACACACCCCCCCCACCACCTCATGATTAGCCTTTGGGGCCAGCCAAGACATGACACTGAACCCTAAAACCCGAAACCCTTCATCCGTGAACCCTAAAGCACTCAGCATTCAAGTTCGTCTATGCCTGTAGAGCTCAAGGTCTTGAATGGTCATGAAAATGTCGGAGCTACATGCACTAAAGGCAGCATTGGGGACACGGCTCCCATTTTCCGCAAGTGCTCCTACTTGCGGCCGTCCCGAAGAAACATTAGGCACCATGTCCACAAAAGTACGCGTAGTACGTTGTTTCGTAGAAGGCTACGATCTTTTTCGACACCCCAATGCGCTGCGCTCTCAACTGAAAACCCTAAACCCGAAACCCCAACACCCCAGACGAGCTTCGGGTTTTCCAATGCAGAAGCCTGGAAACACGGGGGCGGAGAGTCAGGGGCTCATGGAGACAGCGAGCAATCAACCCCAGACCTAAGCCCCTAAACCCTGCAAACCCTAAACCCTCAACTCCCCAAACCCCCACTGCAGACCCCCAGCCAAAACCCTGAACCTCAACAAGCCTCAAAGTGTCGGAGTCAAGGGTTTAGGCTTGAAAGGGTTAATCCCCAAAACCCCAAGCACTAAACCCGAAAACCCCAAGCCCAAAACCTGAATTAACCCCTAAACCCCGAAACCCCCACCACGAAACGTAGCTCTTGCGGGCGCAGGTCCCTCGGCTGAACTCCCTGGAACTGGACCTTGCCTCCGAAGGCACGGCGTCCGCTGTGACTGGTGTGCCAGGTTAGATGGATACCTTCTTTGGGGATCCTTGTACTACGGCTGCTACGGATTCTACTTACTTGTTTGACCCTGTTTATGGCTGGACATGAAAGTTCCTTCATTTTCTGAAACTTTTCTGTACGATAGCCCTAGGTGCATGCGACGTTCAGGTTGGGGTAAGGGCAGTCGGGTTTGCTGAGGTAGGGGTTGGTCAGGATTTTCTAGGATGCCTCGTTTCAGGGGGTTTAGGGTCGAGGGCTGAGGGCCTAGGGGTTTAAGGGGTTTAAGGGTTTTACTTTTGATGTGAGACTGCATGGGCCTTCATGCACTACTGACACTACTGGCATTGCTCCTTCCTTGAACCTGGTGTTGCGGGTCTGCAACCGTTTCGGGACGACGACGTGGCTTTTGCGAGTATGCCGTCATGTCGCAAGTGTCAGGTTTCTGGTTCGGGCATCAACATCATGTTATCACAACGATCACTGCTGGCATCACGACTACCGGTAAGACATGAGTCTTGAGACGTTTCGTGGAGGGATCTATTCATTCGTTCAACCCGAACACCGAAGGCGTAGACTGACAGTAGAACTCAAACAAGCTGCAAGCCCAAAGCATGTCCTAGGCCCTGAAGGCTATACACCCTATGCCCGGAACCTAAGCCTCTAGGTCCCAAACTCTGAACCCTCTGGGTTTTTATTACAATTCTACCAGAATATGCCCCAAAACGTACGCTCTAATTATTGACGCCACTATGCTAAAACTCTAGACCCCCACAGCGTGAGACCAAGGCTACCGGCCCTGGAACGCCCGGCTGATTTTAGCCCACTCTTCTGGGAGCTCGGTCCCTGAGCTGGGGTTTCGGGTTTAGCGCAAGCTCGAGTTAGGCGACATGACCGTCTCATCCGGTTCTATAAGGTCTCTTTTTTTTTACCAGGCTCTTTCTGGGTTTTGACAAGGATTTACCGGGTTCTGGCAGTTTTCGACCAGGGTTTCATCACTGGTATAGAGGGTCTGTTTCATGGGTGTCCAGTATGTTTTGCGCACAGGGTCTCTGTTGGGTTTTGTACTGCGTGGTTTTCTTTGAGCAGCGTGTGGGTGTCGGTTGGGTAGTTGGGTTGTGCTGGTTAAGTGAAGATAGTCAAGGCAAGTCAAGTTAACTCAAGTCAAGTCGGCGCAGGTTCAGCTAGTTTCACTCAGGTTCAGTATGCTGAAGTTTTGAGTTGACGGTGCAGCTTAAGTGTAAGTTTCAGTTTGACTTTAAGCGTAAGCTAAGTTAGTTTAGCTATGCAGGGTTAGCTTATGTTGCCAGGTAGAAGCCAAGTCACATCAAGTTGAATTGATTTGGGCTAGGCTAATTGCGTAACCGTAATGCAATGTGATGTTAAGTTACGAGTAAGCTATGCTAAGATAATAACCCACTGACCTAAAGTTCCATACTACGGGCTTCAAGATGTACTACGGGTTGACCAGGATTGGAGGTTAGAGTCGGAGGATTTGGAGTTATAGGGTTTCGGGCTCGGATTCGGGCTGATCGTTTCTTGTTGAAACAAGGGCCCTACCCTGAACCCTAAACCCTAAACCCTGTCCAATGTTGAATTGGCTTGTAGCCGTCGAAGAGTACGGTTTAAGGCTTTAGGGAGAGGCTAGCTTGGCGCTCCCTCTCCCTGGAAACCGGCTTACGGGTCTTTTTTGGTGGG